ATTTAACCTGATTTAGCATTGTCGATGCCGTACAAAGCACAGCGCATATTTGAAATTAGAATATTTTATCCTCAGCATTTTATGCATGGTCTAACATGTTGCAACAACGATGAGCGATAGGTAAACAGGTTTAGTATTCCTTGTTAACTCAACCGTGTCACTCCTTCATCCTTCATGAGGGCTTGTGATGGACGTTTCAGTCTCTGCAACTTTCAGTTCAGAATTGTTAAAATTAATGCTGAGCTTGTTGGGAAAATATGCAACTCTCTCTGCTGTGTCCACATGGATATCTGTCAGGCTGTAGAGCTCTAGCAACCGCTGTGTACCGGCCGTTCATTTGACCAAGAATGGAGGCAGTGAGGCAATGATAAAGAGGTCGGCTGTGCGACCTTCGGATGTGCAGGGATCAAGTGTCGAGAAGGGCAAAATTAGTCGTAGCCGATAATTTCCTTGAGCAAGGAATTCACCGCACATTGCTTCGATGCAATCGGCAGAGAAACAGGTAGTAAGTCGTAGACCAAGGAACAGAAGATAGAGCATGACATTCAGGTGCGGTCATACCAGAGAGGATTAGATGTGCGGCCATGTTCTCTGATACCAGCGCCGTTTGCGACCGCCGACCTCATAGGCTTCATGCGAAGAGCTTCCGACGATTAAGATTCGCGGTCTAACGTCCTACGCACCGCAAGCACTTAAATACCATGAAGCCATGGCCTGCTTAAATGGCCTCCCTGTACGTCTAGATGCAAGGGGGCGGTGCAATGATGCTGTACTATCAGATGTGAGATTTCTCTTGTCTTACACTACCGGTGTACAGTAAGAAACGCACTTTTTTCTTTATACTGTAGGTTTTCCCCGTTAAAATTCGCAATCCATAATTTTAACAATTCGCTACTTTTACTTCTACTTTTTGTTTTGCTTTTAAGTCTTAAATCGCAAGTTTCGTAGGTTTTAAAGTAGGTGGCACGCTGAAAACATTTTACGAGTCACGAAGTGAAAGTCAATCAGTCAGTTCATTTCGATGACGACTCATTCTATCAGATCGCTGAGGTGGCATCTTCAAACAGCGTCGGTATTCCCTATCCTGAGTCAGGCTTCGGTTTCGGCAGCTAAGAAACTTGAGTTTGGAGCAAATTCACTCGAGGAACTGACTCCAGGTCATTTTCAGCCTTCCAGAGAACTTCGGCCAGTCTGTTGAGCAACTTATAGCTGTTTGACATTTCTTTCTGGAAGCATTCGCCCAATCGTTGCAGCTATTGCTTTACTTTTCAATCTAGAGAAGCAGCGAGCTAACACCAAAGCTTAGTAGGATATTTGAATTTCGGAACCTGTCGAGGCGCGTTAGCCCAGCATCTCATTTCAGAAAGCCCTGCACCTGTAATTTACTAAAGGAGTTGAGTGAAAGGTGCAGTAAGCATCCAACTGTTCCAGAGCAGGGGTTCATTACCTGTTCATCACTGGCGCTGTCCTCTGCTTAAGACACTTAGGGGGCATTTAATCAAACCACGAATCCCCGGTACGGAAGTGGATAGATTGCAGCGCATAGATTGTTTTCACGTTATTCTGTTGACTAGAGGAATGCACTGGTCATCGTGAATAATTCTAGGAACAGTACTGTTTATGTGCTTTCCCGAAACCTTATAAGATACATGGCATGGTGTAACTTCTTTATAAGCAAGTAAATCCCCAAAAACTGGGTTTACATTCCAGAGAATTAGTCTTTAAAGAGTCGCTAGTACAGGCTCAGTTTCTGTACCCCACCAGTATTTTCCTTCTTCTTCTTCGAAGCAATGCGATCGTGCTATGCGCTGTGATCTCCAATTTTGCAAGACTTCCACGTTCGTTAATTTACTTGACACCGGAACATAATTAATTTCGTCTTGTCCATGAGACACCGGCGATTGGTCGGTTGCGCTCTATTATTCGATGCATGATATTGTTCATAATCATACCGTGTACATATTTTCCTCATTTAAAACCGTCAAATAATTACTTTGATTAATAATTTTGCAATTACTATTATGCTTATGTTGGCGTCAAAGCAATAGTCGATTCTGCTCATTATTGGATGCATGGAATAAAGCACACTAATAGTTTGATGAATCAGTAACGTTGTGAAAATGAACCATGAAACACCGAAATTACCTGACTTTGTTATTAGCTTATTTGTTAGTAATGTTGTTTCTCTTGTCTCACTGAAAACTAAACGGGGCGATACGTTTCCGTTTACTCATATCTGTCACAGAAGCATGATTTCCAAGCGATGCTTCAAACTGATCACTGATATCCTTCTTGACAAATGCAAACACAGCCAGACTCTACTGTGATACGTCTCATTAAACAGGCAATTCGGGTACACCGTGGATCTCATGACAATAAACTGATTCCAGTTATTTTCCTCATAACTGCTAGCTTGTCGTCGCAATCTCAGAATATCGCGTTTTGGGTATTTGCCTACGGATAACGACCGATTCGGTAGCTTTTACAACGAGCCATTGTCAATCCAACTGTTGTCCTACAACCAACCCGCTGTTAGCATTCAAATCAAATGGAATCCCAACCTGCTGAAATGGCCCTCCTTGGCGACTAGAAGCAAGGAGATGGCGTGCGTAACCATGAGTAAATCTGGTGTCAGAAGTTGAAGTTTTATGACCACCCGTTGAACTGAACTACCTACCATGTCGGAGCTACCTCTGAACATCAACGCTATGCTCTGTCGTAAACACGTTGAAATTTACTGAGATGAGACTAGCAAAAGCTTTGCCATAAACCACGTCTTGGTGGTCGCTCTCCGAAACGCACAACAATGCTCCTGACTGGTATAAAAGAACGGAACCCATTTCGTTCTACATACTACCACGAGACTTCTACAGCGTCAGATTACTTTAAATCCTTTGAATAAAGTAAAACGGCATGCGTTTAAGTCAGAAATCCGTATAAGTTTAATGGGGTTTTAACATTTTCTGTCATGCTACCGGATTGAAGCGGCGCAATGGTACCGTACCCTTGCTTCCGGTCGCTTAGAGCACCATTTAAACAGGCCACGGCTCCATGGGAGTACCTGCAATGCATGGATGCAGAACCGAAACAAGGCCGAACAAATTCTGTTCAGACATATGCAGATATGCCCAATCCCATAGGCATATTTATAATACATAAAAATAAAACCTGATCGTATGGGTTGACTAGCATAGGGTAGTATCAAAAACAAAAGTTTTATGGGATTTTGCCATTGAACATGTCATAAAGCACGTTTTCAAGAAATTATATATAACTCATATAACAGGGATATAATGAAAAGCGAGTGTTCTTTACCATATGAAGAAAACAAAAACTGTGCTGATATCTGCGATTATGTTGCAGGGACAAAATAAGGTTTAAACTGGCACTAAACTCCATCAATACTGAATCCTCTTCAATTGGATCCTTTGCTCCTATCTCACATGTTATATTTCTGTTCATCAGTCATTTTGTGTTTTTCATTCTATATTCTTAATTTTAACACTGTACATTCTATTTGTTCCTGGTAAGCATTATACCCGTAAAAGTAAGCGAAAGGCTAATGTATCTGTGAAAATATAAATGCACTTTTGACAGTTTACCCAGTAAGCAATGTGTTGACTGAACCTAAAGATCCGTTTAGTTTGATCTATTTTGTAATCCAAACAGTTCATTCTGCACCTGATGATTATATAAGTTAGACCTTAAAGAAATTCTGAGTTTGCGCTTGATGACACAAAAAATGAATAATGCTTTGATATGAGTCGTATAGGGTAGCAGATCTTCTTCATAAAATCCTTTTAAACATAAAAACTGTGAAAGATTTTACCTTTCAAAATATCATCTTAATTCTAATTTTTGGTCACGTATAGTCGCGATACAGTAAACCTTTGAATAGTTTTTTTAAATTTTAGGTTCAGATGAAGGTGTCGCAGTAAAGTCGAGTGCTTCACCGAGTGAAGACTGCCTGAAAATCAACCTGTGGGCCCCGGCAAACCAAACCGATATGGCGGTCATGATATGGATATTTGGTGGTGGCTTCATAAGCGGAAGTCCTTCGATTGACGATTACAACGGACAAACTCTGGCTCTTCGAGGCAACGTAATTGTGGTGAACATTAACTACAGACTGGGGCCTTTTGGTTTCTTCTACTCGAAAGAGGAGAACGTTAGTCTGAATGCCGGTTTGTTAGATCAACGGCTGGCCATTGGCTGGGTCAAAGAGAACTGTCGTACCTTTGGCGGTGACCCAAATAAGGTTACACTTTTTGGCCAGAGTGCAGGCTCCGCGTCGGCAGCCTTTCACCTACTCTCGAAAGACAGTTGGCCATTTTTTGACAGAGTTATCCTTCAGAGCGGGAGTCCGACGTCACCTTGGGCTTATAATTCGCCCGAGAAAGCTGCGGGATATTCCGCAGCGCTCATAAAAACAGCAGGGTGTGCAAACGGCACAGTGGCAGAAAATCTTTCGTGTCTGCGCCAAGTGGACGCTGCAGTTATACAGAACGCTTTCAACCAGCTGATGTTCACGTACTATTCCCTTATGTTCGTGCCTGTAACGGTAGACAACAGCTTTTTCAACGGAAGCATGTTCAGTTATATTGCAACAGGCGCAATCAAGAACTGCCCAGTCATAGCGGGCTTTAACTCTGATGAAGGATCATTTGTTTTGCCTCTATTTCTTCCGTCTCTTCTACAGAGCCAGAAAGAGGAAGGATTGAACAGCACACAAACGGCAGATTTTATTACTGCTGCTCTTCAAGGGATACCTAAAATTGTAACCTCAATCATTTTTAACAATTACTTGCCGCAAACTATAGAAAAATACCCACAGAACAACTCTTTGCCTCCATATCCGTTTTTGTATCGAGACACGTTGCTACACCTCATTGGGGATCTGTTTTTCACGTGCAGAATAATCGATTTCCAGAACCATATTGCGAAACATAGCGAGAGCGTTGCCTACCTGTATCATTTTAACCACAGGACCTCTTTCGCCAACTCAGCTCTCTGGATGGGCGTCCGTCACGGCGAAGAAATCGAGTACGTTTTCGGAAGGCCACTCACGGTAACGAACTACACAGAATCAGAGAAGAACTTGAGCATTTCGATTATAGACCACTGGGTCGAGTTTGCAAACACGGGGTAAGTACTTGTTTCGCTAGCTTATTTATTCTTTAACGTAGTGATTATAAATTCCTTGAGAACAATGGGAATCAACATGCAAACTCTGTGTATCATCTTTAAAAAAAGGCAAGATTTTAAAAATCAAGACGCGATCATTTTTCTCTGCAACGCTTTTGATATTGAAACCTCATGCAATCCATTTTCATATTGAAATGGAAAAGTGATGAAGTTAGAAGTACGCGTGGTACATTATTATTAATTGACTTTCGATGATAATCGCCGAGCCAACTAACAGTGATGCGGTTTATTTATTTTGCTTGAAGTAGTGCCTCTTTAATTGGTCATTGTTAAAAGGCATGAATTATGTAATTGCTGGGAGTAGATCTATGATGATTCTCATAGGTCTTGAAGGAAGCACGACATACATGATATGAATTCAATGCACATAACGCAAGCCAATCGGTCAGATCTACTTAATTGAACCTTAAATCACACGATAAGTTGCCAAATCCCTGCTGTGTTAAAACAACGAAATAAGAAACATCAAAACAAACAATAAAAAAATTGGATCTCTTAGAGACTGACCTCAGACTGGTCTGACATAACTGCTTACTCTTCTATGGGTATCTTCTATCGACTACCAGGCAGCGAACACAAGACGAACCACTGGGAAGCCAAAGTATAATTCCTGCTAAGAAAGTGCACGGATACCGTATTTGGCCTCTTCGAAAGATACTGCTGGAAACATATTGGCGCAGTGGGTGAGTTCGGTCGGTTTGAATAGAACTGCCCAGAGTAACTGTTCTCTTTACCAAGCATCTGATCAAGATTCCGCCAAACTCATTAGCTCTGCAATTACAGAGTCTGCCAAGCGGATTTAAGAGGCTTCGGATGAGAATCAGTTGTTTTCTCCGGAGACCGAGGCAACAGATGATGCAGCATTGCAAGATGAAGAGTAAAGGGCGAGTGGCAGAATACAGAATTTGGTGAAGTTTTCAGAACTTTTGAGTCAATGCACAACCTTCTCAATCTGCATAACAACGAAAACGATTGCCGCACTTTGCCGTTGGATAATGATGTTAATAAGAAATAGAATCGTCCTTCATGACAACTGCCTTCAGATAACGAATGACTCATCCTAAACCAGAACCGTCTGCAAAGTTTGCTGCACATTTGTATCTTATGCAAATTTTTCCAATACTTCAGATCGCACTTGATCCAGTTTTAAGAAATCACAACTTATAAACGGTTGACAGGCAGCGACATAGGTAGAAACATTCTATAAAGGCTACTGAAATAGAAAGTTAAAATTAAGTTAAAAAGGTTATTCTTAAACGACTTTATGCCGGTGTAGCACGTTATGAAGTAAGGTCAGGTAATTCAGTTAGAAAGAATTAAGGCAATATGACACGAATATAGCTAACGAAAGCGGAGAATAAAGCATGTACCTGCTACAAGGATATGTAATGACTGGATAAGATAAGCGGAATATTAATGATATCACAGCAGTTAGGAACCAAGTAACACGGTAGCTATTATGTTAGCATATTTACTTTAAATAGTTCTTTTTTTACTGGCTTACTAAACCGCATGATGATATCATAGCATATGACAGAAAGAAAGGAAAGGAACTATGAAGACACCAACGTGGATCTACGCCTGGAGACTTCTGTATAACTTGAGTACGTTTCAGCATTACGCTACACCTATTTGATCTTCAAGATCAACCATGCACAGTAATAGCCGAGACAGTTCATATTGCCTTTGTGAGTTGTTTGAGAATTATATCCTCTGGAGATGGATCCAGTATAATCCAAGATATACAGCAAATTGCGCAAAAGTAAATAAGTGACACAAACCACTTAAAGCCTACTGTGGCTAAAAACAACTCGGATAGTATTCTTAGAATTTTTAAGCAATAACTCATCACCATCATTTTCGATCCACTTCGGAATGAAAGCCTCTTCTCGCTTTGCCAAAGATTTCTGTTTTCTGCCGTTTTCATCCTTCTTGATTCAGGTAATTTAATTCAGTTGCGGGATGAATTTCTTCAGTTCATCCTGAGGCTTTCCTACGGGTCGTTTACTCTCTTGGGTCCCAGTCAATGTTTCTTTGGTCCAGCAGTGGTTGATTCTTGTGCCACGTGCGCTGCCCAATACCACTTTGACTTTTTCACTCGGGTAATGTCATGACGGACTCTTGTTTATGCCCTTAATCTATGAATGTGTGCACCAAATTCAACAACAGCTTTTTCCATGACGCACGACTTATCAAATAATATTCAATTTG